CCAAAATTGCGTCGTTCTTCTTCATGATATTCTTCTTTTCCCTCCTTCTTTTTCTTCCTCCTCCTCCTCCTCCTCTTCCTTTTCCTCTTCTTCTTCTTCTTCTTCTTCTTCTTCTTCTTCTTCTTCTTCTTCTTCTTCTTCTTCTTCTTCTTCTTCTACTTCTTCTTCTTCTTTATATCTTTTTCTCTGGTGGGTCGTGCGTAGTAGTAGAACGGAACGATCGCAAGATAAATTCGGACCCCACCCTAAACCCTTCCCTCCTGAACTCTACCATGCCTTTCTCATTCTCTCTCTCTCTCTCTCTCTCTCTCTCTCTCTCTTTTTCTTTTTCTTTTTTTCCGTCTTTCTCGATTTCTTTCTTTCTTAGAGAACGGAACTTTTCTCTTCTTTCGTCTTTTTAGTATTCCTCCAATTTCGTATCTCTTTCGAAAATAAAGGTGAAATAATGTCGTATCCATTTAATCGTTATTATAATTCTCTTAGACGATATTCCTCCGTCATTTGGTATAATATGTACATGCATAAGTAATTATGTTATAAATAATTAGCAAAAAGAGAGAATCTCTCTTCTTTTTCTTTTTTTTTTTTTCTTTCTTTCTTTCTTTCTTTCTTTCTTTCTTTCTTTCTTTCTTTCTTTCTCTCTTGAAATCATAATCATATATTATATGTCTGTTTATCTATTGTACACATAAAAATTAAAATTATAACGTACGTGTTGTTTTATCATTAGATTCTCGTGAATAAATTCAATATAAAATTCAGTGAATGAAACTTTAAAACTTTTGATATGAAACTTTAAAACTGTAGCTTATTTGTTCCTTCTAATATTTATCAGCAATAACTATAAAATAAATAATATAGGTATTTACTCGTATATTAAAACGAGCTCGTTATTTGAAGTCACGCGTATGCCTATTATCGTTATTTATGACATTTTAGATAAAAAAAAAAAAACAAAGAAAAAAAAAAAAGAAAAAAGAGAAGAAAGAAAGAAAAAAAAAAAAGCAAAAATAAAGATAAAAAAAGAAAATACTAGACATTTTGCGATAATGACGAAATTAGTGGATGGGAAAAAAAAAAGAAAGAACGAGCGAAGAAAGAGAGGATAGAAAAAAAAGTAAAAATTTTTTATTTTATATTATAAAAATTTAAATAATTATTTTTATATATTATAAAAATAATCGAATAGGACGAATGATATATCGCTTCGGCACCTATCATTATCGTTTTCCCTACGTTCTGTACCGAATCGAGTTAACCTATCTGTGATCGTAGAACATAGAAGAATATGGGATAATTTTCGATAAGAACGATTCGAGCCGTTCATTAGCAATTTCTTTAAGTATAAGAATGTTTCAATAGAACTTCAGAATAAATATTTGTCTCTCTCTCTCTCTCTCTCTCTCTCTTTCTGTTTCTCTTTCTTTCTCTGTCTCTTTCCTTTCCTTTCGTTTATCTCCGATATAGCTTCTCTTATCTATGCTATTTACATCTAATAACAGTATTTCTTTCTATCTTTTTTTTTCCCTTATTTAAATAACATCTACTTAACTGTTATTACGTTTCTTACTTTATTCGTATCAATTTTGCCAATTATTATTATCTTTATTAATGTTCTCTTCAACGTTATTAATTAATGAATTAATTACCTCAAGTATTACTATAAAATTTATATATATATATATATATATATATATATATATATATATATATTTGTAACGATTCCTTTACGTACTAACAACCTTCTAATTGCCTCTTTTTTCTTTTCTTTTTTTCTTTCGTGTATTTATTTATTTATCTATTTATTTTTTAATACATACCTACATAGCTAGTATAATATATATTTACATTCTCCTCCTCCTCTCTCTCTCTCTCTCTCCTCTCTATTTTCTTTTCTTTTTCATTTTCTCTTTCGCAGAGTTACTTTCAAAGAATATACATACATACACACCCATACATACATATATACGTACACACACACACACATACACACACACACACACATATATATATATAGGTACACATATATATATATATTCGTTGTTCATCGGCTTGAGAGCGACCATTTTGTCGAGCAAACCGGTAAGACACGGTCTTCTAAGAAGATAAGCAAAAGACGCGAGGCTAAAGTAAAAGTTGAAGAGAAGAGAAGAGAAGAGAAGAGAAGAGAAGAGAAGAGAAGAGAAGGAAGTAAAGGTGTCTTTATGCCTGTGTCTCTACTTGTATATCTGTCTGCTGGTCTCCCTGTGTGTTTGTATGTTGTTGTTTGTGTATGCGTGCGCGTGCGCTTGCGCATATCCAGCGACTGCATATCGCAAAGGGAAACAGGTGGTTGGCTCGAAATAGAAGCGGTCGGCGCCGAGTTAACGCGAGCAAATCGAATGCTTTGCACAACTCAGTCCTACGACCGATGATGATCCTCTTCTCATCATCCTCATCGTCCTCAAAGCCTTCTCAGGCTTTACTTCGTGATAAGTATGTATGTATGTATGTATGTACGTTGATAGTATGAGGAACGAAGTGATGAGGTGAGGTGAGATGAAGTGGTAACGAATATGTATATACTCTTTGTCGTCATCGTAAACTCGTTCGATCGCACCGGATACATATGTATATCGATTCGTAATATTAGATTCGTGAGAAACATAGCTAATATATCGGCATAGACGGTGGAATCGTTTTCGTTCGCTCATCATCAAACGTTTAGTATATTTTCTTATATATATATATATATATACATATATATATATATATATATATATATATATATATCATTTAACACGTTCCGTACCAAGCCATTTTTGCCGGACTTATATATTCAGGCCATATATGTTTTCAGTGCATTATATAAATATGACTGCGTGTACCACCGATTGATATACGTAGCCTGAAGATCAAGTTTAACGTTGTACCACCGGTGGTACACATTGCACGGAACGTGTTAACTAATCGATAGAAGATTATTGAATCGTTTTAAGGAAATAATATCAAGATATATCGATAATACGAGGGGTTACGATCGATCATGATTTCTGTGGCTCTTTTACGATCTATCGTAAACAATATATATATATATATATATATATATATATATATATATATATATATTTTGATACTAATGGATGTATTGAATGTTTTGTTGTTATTGTTGTTATTATTGAGAGACAAGAGTAGAGAAAGAGGAAAAAAGAATTCATCGTATTCGAATAAATATAATAAATAAATTAATAAATCTATCTTTCTATCTATCTCTATCTCTTTTCTCTGTCTCCGTGTGAAATTAATAATATAAGTAAATTAAATGCGTTGGAAGCTTCATGTTTATTCTTTCATCGATTATATATATTTATATATATATATATATATATATATATATATTTATAATATTTATTAGAATGTTTATCATATCGATTATCGTTTCTAAATTTATATATATATATATATATATATATATATATATATATATATAGTGAAATAAATATGAAAAGAAATAATTATAATAATTTTCACGTTCCAATTAATCGTAACGTCGTTGAGAAACGTGTTAATTAATCTTATTAATTAGAAAGAAATCGATTCGCGTTGCGGCACGTTCTCTCTCTCTCTCTCTCTCTCTCTCTCTCTCTCTATATATATATATATATATATATATATATATCTAGCTATCTCTCTCTCTCTCTCTCTTTCTCTCTCTCCTTCCTTCCTTTTCTCTTTCACGGTCCATCGCGAGCCGTGACAGCAACGCTCACAACCCCGGATACGAGGCAGACGAGCCTTTATTAGGAGCCATTCGTTCGCCTTGAGATGGCCGCCGCGCGTGTCTCGTCGTCAACGAGTATGCGAGCGAAAAGACCAGAGAAACGAATGAACGAACAAACGAACGAACGAACGAACGATCGACGAACACGCCAAATCGACGGAATGCTTGCTCGAAGGAATTTTGATATATATATATATATTTACAAAAAAAAAAAAAAGAAAAAAAAGGAAGAAAGGAAAAAGAAAAAAAAAATCGCTAAATTCTCTTCTCTTAGCGATTTTTTCTTTTTTTTTTTTTTTTCATTAAATTGAATGAGTAAATAAAACGTATAAAGAAGACTATGTAAATGAAAAAGTGACAGATCAATTACGCCAATTACAATATACGTCAATTAATTGTATAACTTTCAAACACTTTTTTTTTTTTTATGTTTAATCACACTCCTAGAAATCACGTGCTTTTTAAAATATATATGTGTATATATATATATATATATATATATATATATATATATATATATATATTTCGAAAATCAAGTTGCCTTTTTTTTAGCATCCAAATGCTTCTTCTTTCGATAATATTCATGATCAATGTAAGTCGTTTGTGTTTTTATTTATTTGTTTGCTTCTTTGTTTGTCTACTTTCTTTCTCTTTTTTTTTCTCCCCTTCTTTATCTTCTAGTTGTTAAGAATGACAAAATATGAATCTAGATAAGAAAATCTTTAGCTTTATGCTATGGGGCCGTGTTGTATAATAGTTTTTAGTACAACGGGCTCGTTCTTTCGTATTTTCTTTTTCTTTCTATGTATATATATATATATATATATGTATGTATATATTTCTTATATTTCTGTATATATAATATATATATATATATATGTATGTATGTATGCTCGTAGATACACACACGTACACATTTGCGTATTATTATTTAAATGTTGTAGACGAATAATATTGAATAGAAGTATCGCCTAGTTAGCACAACAATTTGATATTTAGAGTAAAGAAATTTGTTTTATATATATATATATATTTATTTTTTTTCTTTTTTTTTCTTTTCTGTTTTTCGTTCATCCTTTTCTTTTTTCTTTTTTTTTCTTTCTTTCTTCTTCTTCTTTTTCCTTTTTTTTTTTTTTCTTTTTTCTTTTTTTCTTTTTCTATATTAGAATTTCACGTCGTCATAAATACGTACGGGGGCCAATCATGTTAATCTAATTCTATTCTTCGTTTGTCCCTACAGATTGGTTTCCAAAGATGTGTTCCTGTCTTGATGGCGGATCCACAATAACCGGTGGACGATCCGCCGCACGTGCGGGAAGTTACGAACGACTTGGTTCGGCACCTACGATTTTCGAAATCAGTAGCATGATGCAGAGAGCTCGAAGAAGAATTGGCCATTGCGAAGAGGATGTTTTGGACAGTGAGAGACAGGTGAGAAAGAGAGAGAGAGAGAGAGAGAAGAATGCGAGTCGAATTTATCGGTATCAAATTTTCTGCTTTTTTTTATTTTGTCTTTTTATTATTTTTTTTTTCCTTTTTATTCTTTTTTTTTTTTTTTTTTCTTTCTTTTTTTTATGTGGTTTTTTTAAATTCACTGAATGGTATTATTAAAACGTTTCTTCACGACGATAATTTTGATCAAAATTGAACGATTGTATATATATACGTACAAAAGTAAAATTTATATATATATATATATATATATATATATAATATTTTTACGAATATATATAATATAGATTCGCGTTTAGCTTTTTATAACGTAGAGAAATTTGTACGTACAAAATAAATCAAAAAAATGTGATTATTATCGCGTACGTGTGTATATGAATATGGCCGTGAATGTGTTTGCCGTTAAATCCATAGCAAGCTTTCTCTTTTAATGATTAAAT